TAAAATTTTTGCACAGTACCCAAGAAGGGTAATGATCACCACTTGATTCTGGAGCTTTGTGAAATTAATGCTTCTTTGTTCCTAAATTCTAAATGGTCTTCCCATCTGTTGACTTGCCTCTGCTGTTGAAAAAATATTGCCTTGTATTCATTTCTTTAACTGATGTGTATTTCTATATTCTGTTTGTCTTAGTGTTAATATCTTCAGTTGAGGTTAGGGGGATCCATACCAATTTCATGTCTTCCTCTTCAGCATTAGTCTGACACCATTCTTATTTATGAAATGCATGGTGGTGGTGCTTATTTTGAGATGCATACAATTCAGTTCAGCATACATTATAATGATACAATTCATTTGGTCTTATGTAAGATCTTACATCTTATCAAAACTTCCCCACAGGAAAAATTATAGTTTTCAGTTTGTATCTCATTGAGAATCTTGCTAATCCATTGATTTATATAAGCAAGTTCTTTCCTCTCAATCTCGCCTTCATTGAAATCAAAAGTACTGGATTGTGTTCTAAATGTGCAAGGTTAGAACCTTCTAAAAAGTTCTACCAAAAAAAAAAAATCCATAATACTTTTAGGACTGACAATCTCCCAATAATGTTTCAAGTTGTGTCAGTTAAGAAGTGACCCCCTCCCCCCAATATTAGGTAGAAAAATATTTACCTGAATCCCGAAGACATTGGATGAAAACTTTGCCATAAAGTGTCCCTTGTATGTATCTCTCATTAGAAATGCACAAACTTCTTAGAATTTGCAAAGACAATACTGATATATTGGTAAACCATATGGTTGTTACAACTGGGGAGAAATCTATTTACATAATAATATATAAATAAATGTTTAAAACTAGAATTCTCCAGGATTCTGGTCAACTTACTCTGTACTTTTTGTGGTTCACCTTCCTTCTTTTCCTTTTACTTGAGGGCAGAAGTAGGGCAGAGAAATAATTTTTATTCACTTCAGAAAGGTTACAGTAATAAAGAAACTCTTGTTAATATCAGGGAGCATGGCAGCCAGGAGTTTTCACAGTCTGGCATTATTTGTTTTACCAGCAATTTGGAACCTTCTGCACTCTTAAAATATTGGCAAGAAAATATTTAACTGTTAACTGTTTTGTGGCAGGCATGCCTTGGGTAAAAGAAGCCTTTGAAGAAGCAAAGTTCTCTTCCTCTACTTTTGAAAGATGTGGGAAAAGTTAAAATCCTGTAACATATATGACATCTTTTATAGATAATTAAAATGTCCATTTTTAAAAAATACTGTATAGAAATTTGCATATATAAAAATAGCAAGAAATATGGTAGAAATTAGGATTATAAGTGGATTGGAAAAAAGGAAGGACAATTAAAAGTCAAATGTATTTATATCTTCATAATATCTTGGATGAAGACACTGAAATGTTCAAATTAGTCATGATAACCAACTGCTGATTGTAGCAGGAGAAGCCACAGTGGGCCTGAGGTGTGTGTCTTTCCTATCCTTTCTTCCATTGTAGCTACAAGAGGATGTTTTGTTTTTGATGAAGTGCACTTTAGCATGACATCCAAATAGTATTACACTATGATTAGTTTTAACTATGATTTGCTTGAAACAAGCCATCTTCATATGAACCTGGCTTGTTTTCAGTTAATCTTAATTGAGATAGCCATAATTTAGATCAGAAAGTGATTCTAAAGTAAGATCTTCTTGGGGCTGTGTTGTATGAAAAAGCAGAAAGTATGTACACCCGGTGTTTTCTGTGGTTTGTTCCTGTATAAATCAACCATAGTTTAAATGTTATTTCTGAATGCAATGAAGGAATCTTTTCAAAGACACCTCTTCTATGTTATAGATAACTAAGTATTTAAGCACATTTTGAATGAGTATCTTTTAACTCCTTAATCTGACAATCTGGGAACAATTTTTAAGCTCTAGTGCTATACAACATATATTTTTCTGGGAGTTAAACACCATTGGACTCATTGGGGCTTAATTGTGCCTAAAATTGCACTGTATACCTTCTGAAAGTAACCTTGAGCAATAGATTTCAGTGGCCTTTAACATATCTTCAGTGAACTTCTGGGCTTCCACAATGATTGCCTGTTTTCTCCTAAGATTCCTCAGTTACTCTGATCAAAAGCCAATATTAAGTAATTCCAGTTCAAGTTCTGGTCTTGAAAGATGTGTGCCGGGCTTATCTTGCAGGAGAAATCCAGTGGCTATTAGTTGTATTAATGGCAATTAGCAATTATAAGTTTACTACTACTCATAACATTTGAGACAGGCTTGTAGTTTAAGAAATCATTATTGTTGAAAACTAGATGTTGACATTTGCTCATGCTGGGAAGATAGAATTGAGAAAGATTGTTCTAAAGAGTCCTCCTCTCAGTTTATTTACTTTAATGAAATACTGTTTCTCTAGAATTAACCAGTTTCCTCCATGGGCTGTGATAGCCCTCTTAAAATTATGATGTTATCCAGGATATACTCCCCCTTCTCAGTGCAAGAGTCATCCTTTTATTTATTGCCATGCATGCTTAGCTTTGTTATCTCAATAATTCTTTTTTTAAAGCTGCCCCTTTTTTTACTTTATAGCTACTGAGCAAGGGATATGGGATCCAGAGCTGCTTATTTTCTTTGCCTCCTGTAACATTTGTATTATGTGTTAAATAATCGTTATGGTAACAGTTTTATTATGTTGTAAAAAGTGCATGGCAAATATATCTCATCAAAGGGTAATTTATTGTGGGTGTGTTACAAGAGAGCTGCTCCCCCTTACAGAAATGCAGTTTATTTAAAAGCATGTTCTGTTGAGAAAAACCATCGTCTGACCATGCCTCCAAAGAACAAGCCTGGTTGGCTGAAAATGACATCATAATTTGTATAGTTGGTAAAAATTTAAGTAATTACCAAGGTTGCAGTCATCATCTAACCTTACAATTTTTTAGAGCTTTTTCATTAAATATTCAGTAATAGCCCCATGATCAAGTCTTGATGGCCGGTAAAATAAGTGTATGAATTTTAATAGTTTGTATAAGTGGAAAACATAAGTAACTGGCATAAAATAGCTTTTTTCTGTGTGATGCTGTAAGTGTGAATTATTTTTTTAAAAAAGTTATGAAAGAGCAGTTTAGTGGAGAACTATATAAACTATAGGTTTGATAGTCTGACACGAATTAATTAGCTCTTTGAAGGCAACATTATTACAAGCCTGTTCCTGCAAAACTATGGGCAGATGAGCTCACTAATGAAGCCACAGTGCCCTGCTTTCATCCAAGGGATCAGATTTGTATGTGTTGTTGTTCATGGCTTTTCTTTGTGGTCAGTGTCAGCAGCTGACAGGCTATGCAGTTTTTATGGGTTAAATGTTCAAATCTGCTCTTTGTATCTCTTAGAGCATTTAGTCTGTCGTAACTTGTTTAACACCATGTTGAGATCAGCTAATGATGGTTTTTAATTGCTTGTTGGTGCCTTTTTTCCTTCTCTTGGAGAACTGACAATCACCATAGAATGTCAGGATAGTTCCCTGCAATCAGCTGTAGGAGCTATGTCCTTGATAGGCTACTACCCACATTATTTTTGTGTTTAAAAATACGGTGTATTGTCCATACATTGCAAACATATAATGAGCTTAGTATCTGTACAGGCATCCCTCTCTTCTATACATCACAAGGCTTTCATTTTATATCATTTTATGTCCTGTGCTATCTAAAGTGGGTTGCATAAGCAAGGCTTTGGCCTTTTTATGCTGCTTTTGCATCTAATTCCAGTCCTACTTCTAAGTCAGAGAATGTATTGCTTTTATTTTGCAGGTTAATTCTCTTATCCTAAGAAGAAGTATGAAAAGCTTGACAGAAGTTTTCTATGCATCTATTTTTGGATATGATGAGGTAATGGTAATGTATGTTTAAAGTTGCATATGTAGAGCAGAGAAACAAACTTGTATTAATATAAATTAGTCCTGTTATGGTGTCAAATGCCCAGAATATTTGTTAATCTTTCCTAGTATTCTATTTCTGCTAATGGTGAGAGGTGTATGAAGCTAAGAAAATATTTTGTGGCCACTGGAAACCTGTCAGAGTTACAGAGTTGGAAGGGCCATTTAGGCCATAGAGCACAATCTCTTGTAATAGAGAAATCCAAATTAAAACATCCCTGATGGATGGCTGTCTAGCCTCTACTTGAACATATCCAGTGAAGAGAAGCCCACTCTGTTTCTCATCTATAGCACCTCTGTGGGAACCTAGTATCAAATTGTTCATAAGAGTCTGTGTAAAGTTGGAATTTTGCTTGAGGTTTAACCTTTTGCTCTCTTTTGAATTGAATTTGTTTTAATACATGGTCCTGAATAACCCATCATACGGTTGAATTTCCTACCTGGATCTGCTTATGTCTTACTTGTTTTTAACCACAGATGATCGCACATTCTTCAGACCTGATCATAGCTATTAATACACAATATTATTTATGTAGTCAAGATCTGTATTTAGAAACTGCATTGTTTTCTATATGTACTGTATCTCCTATTGTCCTTTTTATTTTCTTTCCTTTTCATTTTAAACATTTTTGAAAATAGTCTTTTTTCTGTTTAGCAAAGCAAATAAGGGGTTCTGTTGCAGTGTCTAGAGGTTGTTAGGGTCTGGAGGGTTAGACTCAACCATAGCAAGTGCTATGGGTTCAGGGACCACCCACTCTGGGAGATTGTCCAGCTTTACTGGATGGATCTTAAGACTCTTCTTATGGTCACCCATATCTTAGTCACCTCTTTTTTGGATTACTGCAATGCACTTTATATGAGCTTACCCTTGAAGACCACTGAGAAGCTACAGGTATTCCAGAATGTGGCAATGCAAATAATTATGAGTGATTTTGGTACATCCCTGTCACATGTCTACTGGGCAAGCTGCAGAGGTTGCCATTTGGCTTCCCAGTGTAATTTATGGTGTTGATGGTCATTTGTAAGGCCCTCTTGGCTTAGGGTCTGGAGGACTGCCTTTTTCTGCCCATCCTTGGACAGGGTCAGCATGCTTCAGGTCACCTCTGTGATGAAATGCCACTTTGTGGGTACCTGGAGGTATGTTCTCTGGTTATATTGATTTTTAATTCTCCTTGTATGTTGCTTTGAGTCATGTGACAGGTGCCTTAGAAATCTAATAAATAAAAATGTAAAGAAATATATATATATTGGTTAGGCTTTATTCTACTCAAATGGGCTGATTTGGCAGCTGTTCTTCTGGGTAGTAGTGCATACCATATGTTGCAGAAGAAGACATATCACTGGTCTTTCCTACAGAGGTGAGAATGAACAAGGTAGTATTAACCTTTCTATTAAACAGTCATGTATATTTACAAATAGCTAGAAGAAGGTAGGAAGTGGAGCATGATCAGAAATGTCAAGTGTTACAAGTCTACAAGGATGGGTTTTATTATAAATACTTCATCCTCTCAGTAATATAGAGCAGGACTGCAGGAAGGAAGAGGAAAGTAATGAGATTTCCATACTTCGGTGACTCAGCTTGCAGAATGCTCACTTCCTGCTGTAGGAGACCAAAGATTTTTAATAGAGTTGTTGGGAGCATGAGGAAAGCTTTGTCCAATTTCCTCCTAGTGAATCTGTTCAAGATAGCATATTTCCCACTGTCACTAGCAGCAGCACACCAGTGATCCATCTCATGAGTTGGCCACAGAAAAAGAGTGGGATAGTCAGCATGCTGCTATGCTGCTTGCTTGCTTGCTCTTTCTGTCTTTCATTCCTTCTTTACAACAAGGCTCTGGTAGGTCATGAGTTGCCCCTTTGCTCTAAAGGATTGTCCTAAATGAATAACGGCTTTTTAAAGAAAATCTGAATCTCCTTTTTTTCTAATTTATTTTAGGGAATACTCTCAGATGATCATGTGCTTGCAGCAGCTATCTGGAGAAACCTGTTTGAAAAACATTGCAATGATCCTAGGCAGTTGGCAATAATGGTAGAATATGTGCGCAAGCAGGTAGGCAGCTTAGAATATGGATTTCTTTACTATTTAGTGAAGGAAATCATATTTGGTGAGAAGCTAAGTTTACTTGATTTTCCTTTCAGTAACTAAACTCCCAGGGTTATCTACAATCCTGAAAGAGGATGCTTTCTTCTCTTGTTGGCCTAAATAATACTTCCTTCAAGTACAGATCATTACTATCCTGCAGTTAATTTTAAAAGATAATATGAGGTTGTTGAGAATGATGTATCTCTAAAATATATGCCTTGGTCCCAATCACTCTGCTTCTTATAGTGATTTTCAGAAATCAGTTTTTCTCCTCTATTTGTAAAGTTTGTGACTTCTCAAATCCAAGGGAACTCATGTTAGCTCCCTTTCTGCTACATTCTGGCAGGCAGAAAAGTTTTTATTCAAGCACATATTTAATTTATAAATTAGTGTAATTCTACTACTGTAATTGGGAGTTAGTACTGGGAAAAGGTATTTAGGAACTTGTTGGTATTTCTCTGCAATCCCTGCCTGCAGGTTATTAAGACAATTACATCTGTTTCCAGGATTGCACAGCTGCTTCAAGGAGCTTTTTTCTACTGCCATGCAATCTTTGAAAGAGATGCAGCTGCTTTAATGAGACTATGCTGTGTTCATATTCCCATATGTTGTGAAGCACCTCTGAAGCTGAATAGGTGCTATTTATTTTACTAATGCATTTCTAATTGTGTTTTAATAATGGCTTATGTTATATAGTTGGTTGTTTTTAATGTTATACTGTTAGCCATTTTGTGTGCTATTCATTGATGGAAAGGCTGGATGTACATTAAACTAGTAAATAAATAAATACATAACTAGAGACTGGAATCCCTGTATGCTGGGGAAGGGTCCAAAAAGTGCAAAGCAGAACTTCATGGTTGCAGTGGGTCTTTCATAGCTCCATCCCTCAGAGCTCCTCCTGACAGTCAAAAGATCCTCTGGAATTGCACTATAACAACGAACCTAGAGTATTCAGTAGGGCGCCCAACTGAAGCCACAATTTAGATAAATTACATTTGAATATTCTTATTAACAAAGAAAGACAGCCTCATTTCTTTCTTTCTGGGGCACTCATTAAACTAATATTGTAGTGCAGGAAATAGGGATATGGGCCTATTTGACTGTGTTACAAAATGCTGTGTAGAAGACAGCTGCTTCTTGGATGTATGTTGTACATTATCCTTGCGGGGGGTTCTTTATCTTTAAATGTCTGGTTTTACTATTAATGTCTAACTTTGGCCCCATCCTCCATCAATGTCATGAGATCGCACATATTTCTGCTGGGATTCCTTGGTTATTATTGAAGAAATCACCCTTCCATATAAATGACTTGCACTATTTTGTTGTGAATATCAGGTGCAGCATTTGGATGCTATGTCAGGAGAAGACCTGCTGCTGTCTGGGGAAGTGACTTGGCGCCCCCTTGTGGAACCTAATCCACAAAGCATTGTGAAGCCTGCTTTTCCAGTATATAATGATGAAGGACTTTGAATCCTTGTCAACCAACAAGAAAATGTTTGCTGTTGTGTATTACCTTTACACATTGAACAATTCCTGGAACCAGGACTTGACTTACACTGTGGGGGTTCTTAGGACAACCATAATAAATGCTGTATTGCTATGTTAAAAAGTGATTAAGAGTTCCTTCTTTTGTAATTGTATACTGTAATAAACCTAAAGACCATGCTGTTTTTAGTAGTATATCTATAAATAGTTGCTGCTAATTTATTTGTGGAGTCTTTTACAGTTATATTGTCCAAAGTCCTGGCATCTCAGAAATTTAATCCTCTGTGGGAAAAATAGTCTATCAAAATGAGAAGCAAGCTGTTTTTGTCAGGGAAGAGGGGGATCAGCTGCCCAAACGTTATGATCTTCTTTTGTGAAGCCTGTGAGCATGTATAGATGTAAAATTTGTACAATATTTTTGTACAATTATTGTTTGTCTCTAGGCAAACATTATCTTGGGAATTGCAAAGCTTGAAATAAAGCTTCTTAAAGGATTGCTTGCAATTTCCCATCACAGATCATATTTAAGGTAATATATATAATAGGGAACACTTTCCTACTTTCACTTTGCAGTTCAAGAATAGAGCATTTTAATGATCCTGTAGGAGTCAGAGCCTCAGAACCAATCCAGAGGTAACTGTTAAATGTGCATTTGTAAATGACTTGCAGGTTTTTTTTAGAAATGCAGATAAAATCAGCTTGGTTTGAGCTGATATCTGGGAAGTGGAATCTAAACCTTCCCTCCCTCTTCTGATCGTGAAGAGAACCCATTTGTTGAAGCTAGTATTTGCTTTGAAAGAAGAATCCCCATTGATATTTTACCTAGTGAAATCTTCAAAGGAAGATTGTTCTAGGGATTGTTGTAGGAGAGAAAAAGGTTAAATTACTTTAGCCCAGTAATGATCAACATTTTCCTCCTAGCAAATGTGATTTGCATTTTAAAAAAAACCTGTATGTTAAATGCAACTCTAATGTCTAGTTTGGTCCTATTACTATGGCTAGAAATTGCTGGCATCAAGGTTCATTGTTTTGTATAATGAAGAGTGTGACCACCCAATGGCTTTTTTCTCTGCTGCTTATCAAATGGTATTTTCATTTAGAAATTATTCTGATTTGTTTATATAAAGCAGGTTGACACATTATTCTTTTTTAGAAGAGGAACCATTTTTTTTGTCATGGCCAACACTAACTATCCTGTTTTACCATATAATGCTTTTGGGTTTTGTTTTACTTTAATTGAAAAGTTGGGAGATATGTTCTCCACAAATTTAGGGTCTGACTCCAATAAATGTACTAAAATATTATAGATAGGTTGCCTGTTTTACATTTTAAGCAGTGCTACATACCAAAAGTTTCATAGCTTTGGTGTGCATATGCATTACTACCTTATATGATCAAGGTTCTGCAGATGCCCTTCTGCTCTTATTATATATTCCCCAAAAGCTGCTGAACTGCTGTAGTACTTTTCTGCATGGGCTGAGGGGCGGATCCTTTGAAAACTATCAATTCTTTCCAGAAGTTTAAGGATTTTAAAATATAATTTCCAGCACACAAGGCTGTTGCTGGGTTATTGCATGCATTCAGCTCTTGATGATCATGTAAATAGCCAATACAGAAGATGTACCATTTGAGAGAAGAACATTACATGGAAGTTCTTAAAAAAAAGCCAATTTCTCTAACTCAATTCAGTAGTATAATCTGCTCCTTTAACATGCATTATTGGAACTTTTTTGAAAAAGGTTGAGTTTGCACTGATGCATCTATATACAGTGGTACCTCGGGTCATGGACGCTTCTGTTCACAACCAATTCGGGTCACGAACAGCTCCGTTCGCAAAATTTTGCTTCCATCTGCGAACTCCGCATCGGGTGACGAAAAGGATCCGCGGCCATTTTCCCTGCCGTGACGTGGTCGTGGCTTCCTGTAGGGAGGGGGACGCTCCCTCCAAGCAATAACCGCCTCCCCACCCGCCTTCCTGTCCTCCACGCCAGAAGTTGCCTCGAGCAAGGTTAGCTTCTCTCTCTCCGTACTGTACTGTACGGTACTTCGTTTCATATTTTTGTGGTTTAAAAAACAACAACATATGGTTCAGAACGGATTAACCGTATTTACATTGAACCTTATGGGAAAATTTGATTCGGGTTGCGACCAAAATCGGTTGGCAACCAAATTCGTAGGGGTCAGAACGGATTAACTGTACTTACATTGAACCTTATGGGAAAATTTGATTCGGGTCACGACCAGAGTCACGGAACGAATTAAGTTCGTGACCCGAGATACCACTGTATCTGTTAATGAAAGTAACCCATTATATTAACCTTTTGAATGGAAAGGAAGATAAATCCAGCTGCATCACTATCTATGCTGAATAGGACAAATATGCTGTTCTAGATGCTTTATTGCTGTACCAGTCAATTTTCTTTCTATCCCAAAACTAAACCCACTAAATACAACACCAAAAAAGTTAAATTATTTTTTTTATAAATAAGGCTTCCTCAGCTAAATGAAAACATTACAAATCAGACACTTTTTCCTCAGTTTATTTAAGATGCTTTTGTTGCACGCTCTGCTAAACCTCTTAGGTATAAAATATTAGGTGGAGTGTGTGTGAGAGCTAATACCTTGCAATTTATTACAGCTCTATTGTATTTACAGAACAGAAGGCTTAACTCTGTAAGAATTAACTGATTATTTTTTTTAATATGAGTGAAGTATACTGAGAACCAAAATAAATTTTATTGTGTGTCTTGCTGCTCTGTGAATACACGGAAGTAATAATGAACAAATTACATGCATTAATTCATAATCTGAATATTAATTAAAACATTATACTTTCTGTATTCAGAGTAGTCTTCTTTCCCTGGTGCCAATCAACCTTGAAGTAGTTAGGGATGCACCAATCCAAGAACAATTTATGAACAGTTAGGTGTAGCAGTTAAGGTGTTGAACTAGGACTGAGAATACCCAGGTTTAAGTCCACCCTCAGCATGGAAACTCAGTGGGTGACTTTGGGCCAGTGATTCTCTCTTAGCCTAATCTACCACAGTGTTTGGAGGGGGAGGGGATTTGGAAGAGGAAGCACTATCTATGCAGCCTTGAACTCCTGGAGAAAAGGTGCAATATAAGTTCGCCAAATAAACTAGATATGCAGAGTCTATAATCCCGAATCCTTTAGTATTAAAGGATTAAATCCCCTAATCCGATAGTATTAAAAATTACATGGCCCAAAGTCACCCACTGAGTTTCCATGCTGAGGGTGGACTTAAACCTGGGTATTCTCAGTCCTAGTTCAATGCCTTAACCGCTACACCTAACTGTTCATAAGTTCCTCTCCTGTGCCTGGGACCATACAGAGCTCAGGGGATCCTGTACTTTGTACACTTGCCTTTAGATTCTATATAAATTCTGGTATTATAGACTGGAAGTTCTGATTACAAGTTATTTAGCTCCAAAAGATTGTGGACATTTATTAAACTTTAAGAATAGCCAAGATAGAAACAGAATTTTAGAATTTTCCTAGTCATGCAAAAAATAGGATGTAGGTAGTTGCATTGCCCCCTGCTGGCCATCCAGGAGCTGATTTTTTTTAGGATTTAGAGACGAATAAATATTGAGTATTATAGGAAAGAAGGGGAAACCAATCCATATTGCTTCAGCTTGCTAGGTGCCCCAAAAATGGCCACAGATGGACCCATGGAAGCCAGGAATTGCACAGCACCTTTTCTTCCTGGTGTACACCGAGGTTCAAAGTGTTGTTTTGCCATCTTTCTATACTTTTCTTAAGGACCAAGAAGTATAAACAACTGGATCTGGAGATGGCTTGGTAGCCCATCTTATCAGTAGTCAAATCTTTGCTGAGGATAACTGGCAAGGCATGTCAAAATAATGAAATACTTGGTACATTAAAATGCTAAACATACACAAAACACTGACCTATTACTAAAAGTTGTATGTTGAAACAAACACATTTCTTTCACTCCAAGGGAGTGAATTCAGTGACATCACCCTCTTTGTTTACTACAGACAGATACTCCTTTTTAAAGTTTGGATACTCCTTTTTAAAGTTTATACTTGGGTAGCTAACAGTTTTTATTTATATTTTTATCTCATATTCGGTTTTGAAAGTACTTCCTCTTGCAGTCAAACAGTCATCAAGTTTCCTGAAAAAGAGTACTTGAACTGATTGGGGAAAACCCAGATGACACAACTGATACTGAGACATTTTTGACATTTTAAGATAAAATGAATAGTTAGTTGAAAGGAAAATATCCACAATATGTTTGCCAAGGTGACATACAGGTACTACTTTCAATTAACAGTACTTTGTCATGATGAATCACTGGATGAGGTTTGTTCAAAAAGCTCTGTCACAATGCACATTTGTTGGATTTTTTTTAATCTCAGGTAATCTGCCCAACAGAATTTCTGTTAATAATTAATTTAGATGGCAATCACCTTAGAGGATTCAGTCCTTTGCTAGTATATGGTCCATGTTGAATATTTTTCAATCTTTGGGCACAGTTCCCACAAACCAATGAAGTAGGTCATTCTATGGGTAGAATGTTGAGACAACTCATTTGGATCACCTCAGTAGAGTGACCCACTAATCCTCATAGCTACAGGTTCAGGACCTTCTGAGGTCGAGCTGAAAAGAAGGATTCAGGCGACTGCAAAAGTGATGTGTTCCCTTCCTAGCAAGACTGCTTACCAAGATGCTATACTTGATAGTATTAAAAATTACATGAGGCCACCAAACTGTCAAATGTACTGCTTCTGACTAGCCCTTCACAAAGGTCATCTAAACTAGGACAACCAAGGCTACTGTATTCTGTCACCAAACCAACCAAACAAGCTATGTTGAAAATCAGGTGCACTCAATAATTATTGAAAATAATTGCAATATTAGAGTCAAAGCAAGCAAAACAATTGCTGAAAAATTACCAAGGGACTAAAGAAATGCAATTTCATTAGAGGATAATATTATGCCATGTAAAGAAAAGGCCATGGAATCCAGTTCAATAAGTCATTCAGCAGTTGTATCTAGAGCAACTCTAGAAGTTAACATGGTATAAATTTATATAAATGGGCATTTTCCCCATAAACAGAACACTTAGAATTCACACAATTAAGAAAAGCAAATTACCAAAAGAGAATTAATCCTTCCATATGTTTGTTCAACTTGTCTATTCAACGAT